TATATTTTATTATATATATATATAACTTTTATATTGGTTATTAATAATAGAATTCTCTATTTCTATCAAGGCCAGTTCTACTATAACATCCCTTCCAGGCTGCCAGAGGCAATTGGGCTATGGACTTGTTCTAATTCTCAAGGCATTTCCATGGCTCCTGCAGCCAAGTTGTTCCCTATTCAGCTCTTTGGTGTCAGTGATTTGCTGCATGGTGGCCAGGTCTCATCTCTAGTTTGCATTGAAGCCCAAGCCTTGGCATTTATCCAGGCTAAGCTTTGATCTTTGTGGAGTGGCAGTTTTTTTTATTTTCCTGGAAGGCTTTCAGAGGCACCTCACAGCCACCACCTCCTCAGTCTGCTACTTAAAACTAATGGCTCCAGGTAACACCTTTGATCAGCTTTTACATCCTGGCGGCACAGGGTTAATGCGGCTGCAAGAGACACCCTGATGCAGAGATTACAGCTCCTCTGGGTTCACCCGGAAGCTAACTTAAACACAGGATTTTCTTAAGTGTTGAAGATCAGAATCAACAAATATAGTGCCTTATCCCTGCGTGGAATCTGATTATCTCGAAATTCTGAAGACCTACAGCTCTTGTTTTTGTTGGTGCACTGCAGGGACCTGAGCTTTAAAGGTGCAGAAAGGACTAACAGATCTAACTGCCTTCCCTCACACACCCCTCAGAGCAACTGCTAGAGCCGTGAAAGCTCTGAGCAAACCTGAGGCTCACCTCCAGCACCTCCGGATATCTCACAGCTCTTGGGGCATCTCACGTGGCAGCAGACACTTATGTTTAGCAAAGAAATCCCACCCAATCTCTCACATTTTTTTACCCAGGAAGGAAAAATGGACCAAAACATTTGGAACTTACTGACTTCCCTAATTTTGATCATCATCAAAGCATCAAAGCTTTGATGCCAGTTTTGATGCAAAGCCCAGGCTTCCTACCCCTGCAGTCTCTGAAGGAGTTATGCAAACACTCACGCCTGCAGAGCTCTGTTGTTCAAAGCCAAGGCTTCACTCAGGTACATGGCTCCATCATCCTCTATTCTGTTTGCACTGAGATCCAGGATTTCCAGGGTCTGGTTCTGTTTCAGTAGCTCTCCCAGAAACTTTACACCATCACAGGTTATTTTATTACTGAAAGAGAAATGCACATTTTGGTTTTTAAGAAAAGGAGCTAAGAAAATGAGTTTCTAATGTTAGTCAATCACTCTCACCAGCTAAGGTCAAGGTATCTCAGGCTGGAGTTTCCATACAGTGCCTCACACAGTCTCTCTACACCAAAGGTTTTCATTTCCTGCTTGCTCAAGTGCAGCTCCACCAGAGAAGAGTTATTCCTCAACATCTGAGCTATATGGACTGTGGTCTCTTCCTAAAAACATATTCTCAGTTTTATTAAGCTGAACTTTAGGGTAAAAAATGGTCTTGCTTCAGTAAAAAGGGAAACACACAACTAACAGTAAGCCTTGGTCATCAGTTTTGTATATTGTATTGAAAATAACCAGGAAACACAATCTTGTGATGGAGCTGAAAATAAAATTAAATTGAAAAATACTTGAAATATATTTGCAGATTTACAGTACTATCCACATATCAAAGTACTAAGCAAATATCAATGAAGCATCAATGTTTAATCATTATGTCTAATCAGTTTTCCTCCCAGTCATTGCTCTCCAAAAACCGAATGTTTGAGCCAGTCTTTGCTAACACTGGAAGTATTTTGCCACAATGCTAATCTATTCTTTCATAGAAGAAAGGATTGGTCAAGACTCGACGACCTTGGAGGTCTTTTCCATCCTTAATGATTCTGTGGCTCTATGAAAAAGAAACAGGACTGCTATGTCCCGTCACTGAAAGACAAAGGAAGTTTGTTCTGAAGTTGTCATGCTTAGTTAAGAAAATAATTGAGTGAATACTGTGAGTCAAAAACAAGGGAAAAACCCAGAGGCCTCAGAAAATGGTAGACTTGAAGGCAGAAACAATGGCAAATAGAGTCTCTGCCAGATCCAGGCCCTTCCTGGCCTCTGTTTCCAATAGCAGTAGTTTCAACTGACTTCTAAAGCTGGGGTTAGGCAGATCAAATCTGCCTTAGCAGAAAAGAAACAACTAAGATCTGTTCAAGCTGTTAAATTTACCTTTGAGAATTTAGGAAGACCTGGTCTTCATGACAGTTTAATTTATTATCCTGCCATCAGGAAAACACTGTTCCTGAGAACACCCAAGAACTGCTGCCAGGAAGGTGAATCTGCCATGGCACCGGGTCTACAGCCAAGACCTGAGCAGCACTAGCTAAACCACCCAGCCCAGAGAACATGGGGCATTGCTGCAGTGTGCATTCTTCTTTAGGCTCAGGTAAACAGCAGTCCTTGTGCTTCCCCTCATTTCCTGCCAAACAGCATTTCTCCCTCAGTTTGCTGAGCAATGCAGGAAACTCCATGCTGTAACAGCAGAAGGAATACTTGGTTCTCCAACACCAACTCCTCTCCATTACCCTTTGTTTAACATGCATACCAAGAAAGCAACTTCAAAACATTTAACTTTCTAGTTAAACAGGGGCAGCAAGTGAGTGCACAGAACTTGGCACAGAAGGAGAAAAGGAATATTTCTGCAACCATTTCTTTCAGTTTGTAAGGAATCCCAGAGAGACATGCAGTTCAGATGTCCATAAATAAATCAGTACTGACTTGACTTACACTCCTCTCCTTGAGCTGACACTACAGTCACTACATACCTCTTGGCTGTATAGTAAAGGCCGATTTAGGTTTATTGCTTTGAGTGATTTGTTCTGAGCCAGAGCTAAGGCTGTCGCTATTAGACACTGCATACCCTGGAAAAGAAAAGAAATAAACTCTTTAGAAAAAACTGTTCCATGCATAGATCAAGCTACCGAGTTACCATGACTATTATTTCTGCCTCCATGCACTCTGGAGAGATGCAAGTGCAGTAGGCAACTGCTTACAGACACATGATGGATTTTCTGGTAATAGCAATGCCAACTGCCTGTGGAATAGGAGAGTGGAGTCGGACTAAGTAGTACAAATGACTTGGCAACTTAGAAAATAAAAAGCAAGAATAATGGATCTCAGAGATACTTGTCCATTTAATTGATCCTGTATTTTGGTTTTCCTGATTTATGAAAGAAAATCAGCCCTGTGGGTCCCCTATGTGTGTTCCCTTAGCATTTATCCACTAGGTAAATTCATATTTAGTGTGAACCATTTGGTACAGAGAAGTGAAAGTCTGGAATATGGGCCAATTTGGATTTTTTTGCTTCCTTTTGGTTTTCTCACTAATTTATATTTATTCTACTCTCCAATCAGGCTGGTCTACACCCAAAGCCATTTCATTTTAAACCAACTCTCTATCAACTAACTCCCTACCAAACACACACACTAAGCTTTCAAATTGGTTACACTTTCCTTGTCCATAAGACCCTTCACACTTTCTATGGGATATTCCTCCTTCTAGTTTAGGAGCAAATTCTGAACTTCCAGGAAACAAATACAGGTTTTTTAAGTGATCCACAGGCTTTTGACCCATTCCAACCCTCCTGAGTCTTCTCCCTGTGCATTGTGTAAGACATCTCAGTGCCTGACTCTAGGAGGCAGCAGGTTATCCAAGAGCAGATTGGGTGTTTTTCTATTCAATTCAGCACTGCTGTGCTTGTGTCCTTTATGGATCAAGCTCTGATAGCAGCAACAGAGCTATGGGATGCGTGACTTTCAGGTGTTATAGCACTGCACGCTTTAGAAGGAAAAGAATCTCTAGCGAATAAGAAGTCCTTTCTTCAACATGAATTACACAGGACTTAGCATAACAGAAAGAACAGCAGAGCAAACCTCAGAAAATGTGAAGCAAAGCACTTGAATCTCCAGGGACACAGTGACTAATATATCATCAGTCCTGACTTCACAGGTGCTTTGTGCAATGTGCCTTTTCAGGCACACATTGCGATGTTATATATTGTGTTACCTCTGGCTGTCACAAAATGTAAAATCAATGACAACAGATGGCATTTCCCCCTAATTAAGCACTGCAGGACCCTTGTAATACCATTGAAGGACTTATGTCATTGCTGGTAATTTTACAGGGTTACTCACCACATCACAGTCTCCAAGATCCAACTTCTCTAATGTTGAGTTAATTTCTAGCATTGAAGCAAAGAACATCCCACCTTGGTTTCCTATTTTGTTTCCAGTCATTCTCATGTGCACTAGAGTTTTATTCCTCTGGATAAAATTAAAAAACCAAGCAAATCAATTCCTTTAAAATGACCTGAAAAACAACACTGTCCTTTCCGCATGAATCCTGCTGGCTGTCACACAGAGACAAAACCCTCCAGAAGAATTGTGTCTCAAGTGATAACACTGGCTCAGCTGTTGGCTCAGGCTCCCCTCGGTGCCATCAAACACATGAGAGCCTGTAAGCAAAACTCCTGTATTTGGAAACCATTGTTTCTCCCAAATTCACAAATCTCACACTAAAAAAAAAAAAATCCAGGCAGATACTTCTGACTAAATTGGCATCTGAGATGCAAAGTATATCAAAACTGATTTTGTGCTGGTAAGCACCGTACGAGCTCAGTGTTGTACAATCTACTGCACAGCCTCAGTGTTTTGGAGGTCTGTCAAATGCAGTTGAAATCAGTTCAGGGTACAAAGACTGTGGAGGAGGAAGAAAGAGCTCATGTGAGTCTCCTTTCACAAACACAACAGATCTTACACACAAGCCTCATTTCCTTGGGAAACCACATTAAAAATAACAAAGTTGTTTTTATGCTGCTGCTGTCAGGCAAAGTTTTGAAAACATGTCCCAGACATCTTGAATCAAGGCTAATATTGACATCAAGGTACAGGCAAATTTAATACAATTTTTGGGAAAAAGAAGGGGAAAACTGATGGCATTATATATCCTGTAGCACAGCATTTTTCACACAGCAAAATCCAGCTGTGATAGTTGTGGTTTTTATAGACAATCAAGTGTTTTTATAGATAATTAAGTGTTAATGGCAGCACAGTGCAACTTTCTCTTGTGTGAAATCTGATTTCTGCAGTCTGCCTTGGGAAAACAGGCAATCCCTGTGATACAACAACATGCTGAATGGAGCAAAGACAGAGGCCCCTTTCAGCCTGCTCTGATGTTGGCAGCACAGCCAGTACTGGTCATCAAAAGCAAAAATATCAAACTAGATGCCATTGTCTGAATCTCCCAGACTAATACTCACACAGAGTGCTCTTGCTATCAGCTCTGCCCCACTAGTGCCAATGTCATTAAACATCAGGTTCAGGTACCGCAGAGAGGAGTTTTCCTTGGGAATAAACAGCAGGAAGCAGCAATGAGAGGTTTTTCCAGACATGGCTGCATTTTTCAAACAGGAGATACATATACAAAACTCTGTTCCTTTGCTGTACTTCAGGCAGCCCCTGACTTGGAGAATTAGATAATGCCAATGTCAGATAATAAGGGAAGGACATAAAAACCTGTGGTGTGAGCATTCCTCATGGGGTCTGCAGGAACCACCCAGGAACCTGTGTGCTCAGCATGACCCAATAAGGCAGGTGGATAAGCTCAGATGCAGAACTTCAGGCATTTTGTGAACTTAATGGCACCTCCCAAGCTCTAGTAACACAGGCACCAGGTGATAACTCATCATTTTCCATTGGCATCCCAGTGCTTACAATGACAAAAAGGCAGCTTTAAAGTTTCCTGTTTGGGCCTACAAAAAGGCTAACAGAGATGACAAAGTATCTAAAACAAAGGCACTGGCACATGTGTCACAATCATTACCTCCTTTGTTGAATTGAACTGTAAGCCTAAAAGCCTCACAGTTTATTCCACCATTCTTTCTTCAGGACACCTTAGCCAAATACCCAATGGCTTCCTACCAGAAGTTGGAAATCTCCCCAGAGAATATAAACTGAGATTCTAGTGGATGGATTGGGATGTAGAAGTCAAAACTGATGGAATTTTGCCAAATCAACACATTCTTGTCTCCAATACATCACATATAAATATTACCATAGCCAAAGAAATTACAAGTTGCTGAAAGATAAACATCACTTTGGCACCTGGAGGAATGCTGCCATGGTCTTTGCTCCAGCATCAGTCAATACATTATATCCAAGATCCAAACCTGAAAAAGAAGCAGAATGAGGAATGTGACAGATGCATATCTACAAGAAACTGATCTCTAAACAAAAAGAAACAAAGATGAACTGAGGCTGAAAACAAGACTGACCATGTTTTCTTACATTAGCACAGCAATGTCAAACACACATGGACAAACCTTACCTGTGACAAATGCAGCATTGAGTAAGACAGAGGCAAGAACTCCAAGATCCTCATCTGTTACTCTCTGCACTGGCTTTAGATGATTATTTCCAGCTATTTTTAAGGTGATTCCTTTTGTCCATCTGCTGTAATATAAAACAGTAAGCACTTGGGGAGAAGTAAAATGATACAGAGAAATGAATTCGCTCCCCAGACGAGAGGTGCTTGCCCTCACTGATGTGTTTGCATGCAGTTAGCTGCTGCTGCAGAGCCTTTGGTAACACCACGACAGACGAAGTGATCCAAGCTGTATTTGAATCACATCAGCACTGCCCTTTCTGATACCCTGAAGGCACTGCACAGCTGCAAGACCACACTTAGCACACACGCACAGAAAGCAGGAAGAAGCAACATGAGGGGAAGGCAGATGGAAATAAAGATTATCCTGCATGTTACCTCATCATCTTCTTTTTACTTGTTCCCTTTCCTTTATTTACTCTATCCTGTCCTTGGGATCAAAACCTAACATAAACCATTTCACTATGCTGCATTTTCTCTGTTTTTTTCCCCAAAGGACAATTAAATTTGACCCCAGCAGCAGCCATGAGTGGAAGCCCTACCTAGCCACATAATGAGTAAGAATTTGGGTGGTTAATAGCTTGGCAGGATTCAGACAGCTCAGGGAAGCATGACCAGCTGGAAGCTAACTGAATACAGCTGAGGCTTTTTAAACAGGAGCAAGGCAAAAAGAAGGGAGTTGAGATGACTAGACACTGGGTTTGGCTTCTTTAAGGGACAGAAAGGCACCATCCTGTACATTTTTCACTTTTTTTAATTTCACTGCTTGTAAAGCTGCCCAAAAAGGATATATAGCCACAAACTTCTGCCAAGATGATGTCAAGATGAGTCAAACCAGAACTTCAGCAGTAAATGCTAAATTTGATTTGTGTTTAAGCCTCAAACTGCATGAACTTTCTCATCATTCAATTCCTTATCCTGCTATGCTCTTTAAGGCTTTCAGAAGCATCTGAAACACACCGTTTGTTATTTCCTTACATTTTATCATTTTTATCAGTTCCTTGAAGCACACGAGCAATGAAGGGGTTCTCAGGCTGGCCCAGTTTTTCACAGGCTCGCACATAGTGCTGATGAAGATCTGGACGAACCGACATGACCTGCTGGAAAACAAAACGAAGTGTTACCACGTGGTTATGGCAGCCTAGCAACAGCACCCGGAGCAAGCACAGATCTGCATAACAACAAAAATGGGTTTGGTCTGAAAAGGGTTACAGCTCTAGGTATGCGGCACTACAGAAACAGATACAGGCAGGCAGGAAAAAGGAAAAAACGTGGAGTAGTGGGTGCGTTTCTGATGTGCTGTCGCTTGGGATCTGAGCTAACACAGAAGTGATACGCAGACAGGCAGGTTCTTGTTCCCCGCGCAGCAGCTCGAGCGCAGCCCCACCTGCGCCATCAGCACCTGCACCTTCTCCCCACGCCTACCTGCAGTGCCCGCACAGGGGTGAGCTCTGCCCCACGGCCGAGCCTTCCTCCGAGGTGAGGAAGTTTGGTAACCAGGCTGCTCCGATGTGAAGAGCGTTAGGTAACGGAGCTGTTCGCGAGGAGGATATCCCAGAGCTCGTTTCCAAGGAGCCACGCAGCAGGAGGGAGCGGGCGTCGGTTGCAGATGCAGCCCAGGACCCGAGCAGGATTCCCCCACTGCCCCCTGGACGTGCTGGGCTCCCCCCACAGTGGGAGCCTGACCCACCTGCGGTGCTCAGCCTCTGCGGGGAGGGCAGGGCAGGTTCACCAAACCACAGGAGTGGGTCATCTGGTCCAACCTCCCTGCTCAAGCAGGGTCACAATCACAGAATCCTCAGAGTTGGAAGGCACCCACGAGGATCATAGAGTCCAACTCTTGGTGCTGCACAGGACATCCCCAAGAATAACACCATGTGCCTGAGAGCATTGTCCAAGTGTTTCTTGAGCTCTGTCAGGCTTAGTGCTGTGACCACTGTCCTGGGGAGCTGTTCAGTGCTCAGTCAGCCTCTGAGTAATATCCTTTTCCTAATATCCAACCTAAACCACCCCTGACAGAGCTTCAGGCCATTCCCTCAGGTCCTGTCACTGGTTGGCAGAGAGAAGAGATCAGAGCTGTCCCTCCACTTCCCCTCATGAAGAAGTTGTATACAGCTATGAGGTCTCCCCTCAGTCTCCTCTTCTGCAGGCTGAACAGATTAAGTGACCTCAGCCATTTCTCATATGGCTTCCCCTCAAGGCCTTTCACCATCTTTGTTGCCTTCTTTGCATGCTCTCTAATAGCTTTATCTCCTTTTTGTAATGTGGTGCTCAAAACTGCACCTAGAGCACATGACACAGGATTGTGTCCAGGCTGTTCCTCACCTCACTCCCAGAATATGGATTTAGTGGTCTGCCCACGGCCCCTGAGAAGCCTTTGCAAAACTCTCTGTGGTTACACAGATCAGCTGTTATTTCAAAGGTGCCTGTGCTGGCCCTTTTCAGCAAATAAATCCCTCTAGTTACTTCAGTACTGCCCTTGTAGGCAGGAGAGGGTCAGCTCCATTCCTCCACACTGCAGCACTGCCAGGAGCTGGCTGTGATGGGTCTGTCTCATAACTTGCTGCACAAACTTCCCCCAGGTTTGAAGAATTTCCCTGAAACTAGAGCACTCAGACTGTCTGAACAGCCTGGAGGAGTTCATACACCAGATCTGCTGCTCACTGTCCCTGCCCCATGTTTTTGTAACGAACTCCAGACTATGCACTGTACCTCTGTCCTTCACCAGATTAACCAGTGTCAGGATACTACATCTGAATGAAAACTGTTTTGATAACTGTTCTAAGGGAGTATGCACTATGAAAAATGTGAAAGTATTTGTTCCTTTGTTTTAATTTTCATTTCACTGTTATCTTCCTTTTGTACAATCTAAGTTCTCC